TTTTATTAAACCATCTCTATTTGTCTCCCTCTAAAGCTCTTTGATAAGAGAGGATTAAACTTTTATTAAATGTATAGAGTTTCAGGCTCAACGTTTTTTATGTTGTGGGCCTTGTTGAAAAGAATACAGGAAACTATTTTCTTTCTTAACTCACAGCATGTAGAAATACTGCTTAAATTTATATGTTCACTGTTAGGCAAAAATGAAGTATGCAGAATGTCAACACACAGGTGAATGAAATGTGAATTATGTGGGTATACCAAGGGGTTTTAAGAAATGCTCTACTATTTGGGTTACTTCAGTAGCGTTGCCAAATCCTACAGCTCAAGCGTTATAAGACAGACAAAGGAAGGAAAATCAGCACTGGCTTTTTTGCTCCCTTTTAATTCTTTTTTTTGGCCTGATTCCTGATTTTCAAAATCTTAGCAGGAAAAGCTGCCTGCTCCTTCATTTGTATATGTGTGCATTTCAAGTAGGAAATGTGCACAAAACACAGACACAGAAACCAGGAGCCCTGTCTCCTTTTCTTGCAGACAGCAGGGACACCCTGTCAAGCTCCCTTCTCTTCTCCCTCATCTCAGCTTCTTTCATGTTCTCCTGCCCTGCACAATGCTGTCAAATACTTTCCAGCTCCTACAGGTAAGCAGTTTTTTTGTTTCTATGCTGGTTCAAAGAGATAGCGTTTTTCATTGTCATTGCCTTCTTCCACTGCCTGAGACATTGTCTTGTACTCGTCTATTCACTTTCTCTATTACTTCCTGTTCTGTGTAATTATTCCTCTTTTCCCTGATTCTTTGACCATGGCATTCTGTTCTGTGCTTTTCTGCTTCCTTGTTCCTTTCTCATCTTTTTATGCCATTCCCCTACTTCTGCATTCCTGCCCCTGGTACTTTCATTTTTGTATCATTTCTAAAGGGCTGTTCTGCTTAGATGCCCACTTCTTGTGCGAGATTCCTAACTCTGTGGGTGACACTACCAGAGGTTTTATGACTCAACAACCGCTAAGACTTGCAATTCTTGCATTTTGAGTTCTATGGCATGTATCTCATAGTATTTAAAATTAGGGCAAACATACCTTCCTTCCACCATCAGTATTTTGGGAAGCTTTTTCCAGTAATTAAGGTGCGATATTATGTCAAAGTAAATCTCATTACTGCCAGCTTAAATAAAAAATGGCTATCTTTTCTATCCTATCCCTTTTTTCTGCTCCTTCTAGTTCTAATAGGAAT